TTTTGAGCTCGTTACTCGTCTTTTACAAGCGTTTACGATGAAATGGCTTGATAATGAAGGATGGCAACAAAGGCTAATATCGTTAGACTAATAGAGAGAGATGCGCCATTGTAAGGCGATAAACCAAGAGCGATCATCACCCTGCAAATAGGAACAAATCGTTGCAGTGAAAATATCCAACAAATAACTGTCCTTATTAGATTATCACAACCACGACGGTACATGACGTTCTGACGGGGAGCGATTTATTTCATATAATAGTCTGTTAATCAAGGGCTCTCGTTCAATCTCCCCCGGCTACGGGTCTATTATGTGTTGCAAATTCGCAAATCTCGGTATAAATATTGTGAAATGAAGGAATTACATTCTTCAATACTGCTAACGAGGTAGCTGACACTAGCAGTACGCAGTGTCAGTTGGAATTACCCCTCTCTGTCCGTGGGGCCCCCAGGGTGAAGAGCGGTGCCCGGGGGACAGGGGGTTCACCAGCTAAATAAGATCTAATGGTCGCACATGTTCAGTCTATTGATTTGCTGTTATTGACGAGGTTTGTGCTATTTTAACAACAATATCTCGCCATCCACGTGGGTTAAAGTTTCTTTGATAGCTGAATGAAAGTAATTGAGCAATTATTGACAAAATGAAGAAGCAGAGAGACTGGCGCAACTTCGCAGCCGCGGAAATGATAACTTGCTCAGGAGGACGATAACAAGGACTTAAAGGGGTTCTTGGTGAAAATGTCTTTTGGAAACTCTTGAGAAAGTTGTTTCATTAAGAAGTTTGCTCTAATCCTACTCTCGTGACTGCGCATGCGTGAACTCGGTATGGTAAACTCAAGGTTGCTACAGTTACATGCTGGAAATTACTAAGTAATTTCTAATAGAATCGGGAACAATGTCCTTGAAAAAAGTACAGTCGAGCAGCCCTCCTTACGCTCGAAGAAGCCATTATTTTCACTTTGGCACAGTGTATAATGACGTTTCTTTGTATTCATCGATGTCATTTACCTAACTACGCTTATGTCGACCAACTCGAGACTCGACTGAGAGCGGGGCATGCTGAGTCTATCTTACACACTGAACCATATTTTTTCTCTTCCACAAAGCCTTAACTGTAATGGACCCGTGAAGGACCGGGTTAGAATGAACCTTCAGTAACCCATGCTTGTCGTAAGAGGCGACTAACGGGATCGGGTGGTCAGGTTCGCTGACTTGGTTGACACATGTCATCGGTTCCCAATTGCGCAGATCGATACTCATGCTGTTGATCACTGGATTGTCTGGTCCAGGCTCGATTATTTACAGACCGCCGCCATATAGCTGAAATATTGCTGAGTGCGACGTAAAACTTAACTCACTCACTCACTTAACTGTAATGCAAAAGCTTAAATGAAGCAAGTCAAGCTTTTCTCCAGATTCTCAATCTCCCACCTCATTGGGGCTCCTTTTTAATTTAAAGTTAGTTGATCTATCAAAATTGTATATTTTCAGAGACCAAGTCCAGAAAATGCCTAACACAGCTCCATCCTCTCCTAAGTTGGAGGGGGCGCAACAAAAACAATACTTCTAAAATCCCTGTAGTAAATACAGTATGCTCGTACACTCTCTTAAGCATTTGCAGTTATATGTTTAACCCTTGTGTCGAAGTGGAAGGGACGTAAGTAAATACTTCGAATCATCCCAGGTTCGACACAACACCAAAATGGTCACTAAAGAGAAAAAGCTTTTACTTCGGGACAATCATATGTTCGGCACATCAGAGTTCGACACAACGGTGTTGGACAGGAATAGTGTTATTATCTGTCTCTTGGCACTCATTAGTTATGTCCAAAAGAATCCATTCTATTAGCTTGACAGATGGGTTAAAACGAGGTAACTGCATGGCCTAGATATAACCAGTATTGAAAGAACAGTCTAACGTTGTGTCGAACTTCCCGAGAGGACGATGTACACCGGTTTTTGCATCTGCAACTATTCTGCAATTAACGGGACTGGACCCAATATGTGATTTACCAATTATGTTATAGTGAATATATTGACCCTGACCTTGACCTAAGACCGGAAGTACAATAGGTCTACCACTATGTCTGCACCATTACAATTTCAATATAGGATGGTGACCTCTTCATTATATAATTATCCGCGAGCGTTTTATCAGTCCTCATCTAGGGGGATCAAATTGGTTTCAAACATTTCAACATTAAAAACATGTTCTTAAATAATGACCATCTTCTGTTCACTTTTGGAAACTTTGGTTTCAAAATGGTTTCAATCATTTCAACATTAAAAAATTCGAAAGTCCATTTTAAGATGAAAGGTCGTGGGTGCGGGTTAAAGGTTGAGAGAATCATGTAGTATCTTACCGCTCCTCAGCTGGATAACCGAGTTCGATTCCTCTCATCGATACAGTGTGAAACCCATTTCCGGTAACTAAAATATCCTCCTCATTTTACACTTGTATCAAGTCAGAGTGAAAGATGTTAAAGTCTTTGTCATCGAACATCAGTCTGTTTGTCGAGCTACTACTTATGAAATGTGCTAGGCTGTAATCTAACATTCTTGCCCCTCACCTTACTTACATCGTTGAATGTTTTTTTTTAACCTTGTGACATTATTAGAAACAGACTAGGTCTCAGATAGTACAGGCACCGTGTTCACACTTCCCCATGTTAAGAAATCGAACTCTTCTTCGACGTGACGAGCACGTGCCTTAACCACTGGGCTTTGCCATGTCCCAGTATCTGTGATTACAAATACCCTTTTTTGAACAGTTAGTAAATAGGCTATAAGAAGAAAAAGGTTTTGCCACTTAGTAGTATTGTCACGTTCATAAGAAAACGTTTTTAATATTTGAAAGAGTATTGCTCTCCTGTACTTCACGGATTACATCTAAATATTAAATTTCATAATATACAGAATATCATTTATAACGTTTATTTTCGTTTTGCTGCATTTCAGAAACAATTTTGACGATTATATATTTCACTGATAATGAGAGGGTCTGTCTTGACATAATTCCGATGCCATCACTGGTGGGAAAAAGCATGTGTAGTTTCAGCTGCACTGGCCCAGTGGTATCTGAGGAAACGCCAACGTTGTCGACGACAACGTTGCCAGAATGTGACATAAGTTGACACTGACTTCCATGGCGGCAATGTGAGGGAGTGAGTGAGTTCAGTTATACGCCGCCTTTAGCAATATTCCAGCAACATCACGGCGGGGGGCACCAGAAATGGGCTTCACACATTGTACCCATGTGGGGAATCGAACCCGGGTCTTCGGCGTGACGAGCGAATTCTTTAACCACTAGGCTACCACACCGACCGGCGCCAATGTGAGCCGAACCTAAGCACATGATAAGAAAATGGGTATATACAGAGTTTCAACTCCTACACCCAACTGGTACGGTTTTCGGTTTTTAATAAAAGCTAAAAAATAATGTTGATTTTGATGTATTTATTCATCACCAGAGAAGACACAGAACTACATATACAGTCAACAATGCCCACGTTGTGGGGGATAACAAACAATAGTCAAGTGTCCAGCATCACTGGAATATTGCCACATATTCCAGCCACTCCGCATGATGTGGAGTTCGATGCTTGTGCGTATTTTGACAACACCGCATGGACATACATGTGGCAAACATCTCACACATCTGTGAAATTACGAACGTGGCAATCTTATGATTTACATATGTACATACAATACACCTTTGTTAACGGGAACTCAAATACTTCCATATCGTTTACGATTTTAGTATAAATGGAAAAATGTTAACGTGTTTTACAGCGTCACTTCGCTTATGTCGAGTTAAAAAATTATGATTTCGAGTTAACAGGGTTTCTCTGTACAATATTATGTACGCCTCTCTTTGGTACAAGCAATATAAGTAATATGTACAATACGTAGGAATGATATTTTGCACTATAAACATAACAAACAATAATAACATCTAATAACAAACCGGCATCCTATTAGATAAGCAATCATAAATTCACACATAAGCACCAAATCACTCTCAATTTTGAGCGGCACTTTAAGCATTCTCGGTAAATACGATACTGTAACTCAAGCTTTCATTGACAATAGGAACATGTTGGCGTCCAAAGTGTACTGAACAATAACTATTAGGGATCATAGATACCTTTCATCCTCGATAATCTCCAGGGTATACGTTACGATCACTCTCCACTATACCCCGGATTCACCCACGGCTTGGCTCCATAATTATATTACCTCCCTTGGCCGTTTTTTTTATCCAATCAGGTGTCTAAAGGTGGAAGTTGAGCGAACCAATCGCTTCTTAAATTATCTAACCGTTTAAACTTGGCAACACAATTGATGCAGAGGTACTCTGACAGAGGTAGAAGAAGTTCTTTCAGATATATTTTTAAAGTTTCAGATCTGTCAATTTGTCTGTATTATTTCCCCATAAATCTGAGTGGCACTGCGAACAAACCTTCGCGACTGCGACCGCTATCTTTGTTGGCATTGGCAAGCTCGGATGTAACGGCGGCTTAGCTGATTGGCTACTGTGAGAATGCGGAGCAAGCAAAGCGAGGTAAAATAATTATGGGGCCAAGCCGTGGATGCATCCAGGGTATAGTGGAGAGTGATTTTAACGTATACCCTGGAGATTATCGAGGATGGGATACCTTTTAGCACATGCTTTTCTTGTGAAGATTTATTCCACCATTATATAATAATCTGACAGTATCTGTTCCAAAAGAATTCATGATTCCTAACTTTTTTAGTCTGTGTACGTTATAATATGACATATAGTCAGAGTCTGTTTGTTGAAAATGTATCTTACATAGATCTAACCATCGGTGGAGCAAGAAGGGTTTCTGGCACAAGATCGATTTATGGTACACGTTAGTATGGCTCTGTCTGGTCTAAATTAACATTAAAACATTTATAGACAGCCGGCTATGTAACTTGTCAATGAGCACATAATTTAATGTTTTAATAATTCATATGATCTTATAAGAAATTTAGTCACGATTTGGCCACCTCCTGGTGTGGGTGACCCAGACCAGAGAATACAATCTGATCGCCCATTGTAGCGGAATGTTCTTTTGCTTTTAAGCGGAGGGCGTCGATGCTGGATTTTCTCATGTCCAAACTCTCGTTTTCAGCCGAGACTCTCGATGGCGCGAGATTTAAAGGTGATGATGCCATGGCGGCCATTTGGGATCCCATGAACATGTTTTGAACGGGGATGTTTCCAGCCGTTACCATATAGTTAGACAAAAGTCCGCCGAAAGGGGTCACAGCTTTTCCTTGGAAATATTGAGGCGGCATTCCTCCGATATGGTTGATTGCAAGCATGGGGCTGATTCCGGTGAGATTGGGAAACCTGGCAGACCAGAAGGGGTCAAGGGTCGACTGCAGAGCCATTGGTGGAGCCCCTAGAGGGGGAAGGTCGGATAATGATTGGGGGGATTCTCCAGACAGAAAATTGGGACTTTCTCTTCCAAGGGCTTTCTCTCTCTTTCTCCACTTGGCACGGCGATTTTGGAACCAGACCTGCAAATAATAACGCAAGCGTGAAAATTGTGGCAAGAAGATCCCGATTTACGACAGAAGCAGGAAATGTCAGCTTTACCGGCACCTTCAGCTACATTCCGAGATTATGATCCACAAATACCAGAGATAAAGATGCAAAGCTCATAATTGGCGCAAATTGAAAAATGGATTCCATATATTTGTCTGAGGCGCTTCTGACAGAAAAATGTGATGTTTTAGAAGGGGGAAAATAATTTGGAAGGCTGCATTTAAGTACTTAAAATTGCGGAATTCAAGACGATGAAGCTTATTTGACGTGAGTGTGTGTCTGTGTGGGTGGGGAATTCTTTTGTTTATGCATAGTATGGAAATTGCCGAGACAGACAAACTTTTGGTTATATTCTTATATTGCTGGAGCATTATTCTGTGAGGTTATAAATTACACGTATGGTTTAGATTTAGAATCATAGTAAAGTAGAATTTAAATTCCCAGAAAAACATTTTATTTGTTAAAATTTGAAATTCGTCCATGCTAAATTCCTTTGATGGTTGTTATTCAACGATACGTTACCGACCAAAGCTTTATTTTACAATTTGGGCAAAAGAAAATAATAAGTTGCGGTGTATTAAATCTAAGTATTTTATTTGAATTAAAATCAAAATAATATTTTATAAACATATCTGTTCGGAAACCGTAATTACCTTTGACGTAACTAAAAAGAATGTCAAATGATGCTAGTCTATTTCACAAATAAAAATAAATGTTTGCTTGATGGGTAATAAAGTAATTGTATTACGATCATAATGAAAATTGCTCGTCGTTCTATCAGCAGTATCGTGGAATCGAACGCCCGGCTTCTCGCTCAACTAAATCTGGCTGTAGAGGCTGATCACCCTATTATCAATCTTATTGCCAGCAACAAGACACAAGCTCTTCACCACAGAGGCAATTACTTGGCCAAGCAAATCCAATCATTCTCTAAATGGCTCCCGAGGCCACATCACGAGTATGTCAATACGGTAGAGGCCATGGAATCTATACAAGTCTTTACGTTGCGCAGTAGCGTCCCACAAAGTCCGACATGACATTCTATATCATGGTAGTTGTTATCATGATTTAACTACGTCATGAAAAGAGCCATCAAATGTAATTACAAATTCCTGACCCACGAGACTTAGATTAATCAGGAAATAGTTCTGCCAATTAATAATTTCGAAGAAAACGTGAAATTTCGTGGTTTGAAAATTGAATTTATTGTCAAGAGTTTTTGCTCTTTAAGTTTCTCCTAATCACCTTTATAAAACATCAAAATCAAACCTTACAATGTTTTCTGACAAGGTTCATTTGCCGCAACGTGAAGCTTGTCAGTCATTAAGCTTTGCGTTTACATAAAGCGGATTGGGGCTTTTCTTTTAATCAATAGTGTTTAAGACAAACGCGGCTAATTTGCAGAGTTTGGGCAAAACAAACTAAATGTCCGATCCGGTTTGGGAGATGCCATAATGTCGAAAGGCTTACTAGGATTTTGCTCGATAATTTCTTGAGAATGAGGGCAACACTACCAGCCCAATGGCAGCAGCGTCACCGGATATAGCAAAGCACTGTGGGAAATCCCTCTTGTTGTATTAAGTGATAATCCCTTTTCAGACTTCTCCCTTGCGAGAAGTGGTGAGCTGTAAGTTGTCAGAATGTTTAGGAATCTAAAATGACCTTCACAGTAGGCGGGGGTGGACATCGTTACCTTCGAGGAACACATGTGATGGGAGGGCAAATTCAATAAGATTAATCTATTCTACTACTTTTCACGCCATAATAATATATACAACTTTAAATATACTGATTTATGAGGTATGCTTTTAAACATATTTAAGATTTCTGCGTTTTGATTTAGGCTAGTATTTCTGAGTTTGAGATTTAAAAATACCACTTCAAGGAAACTAGCAGTCTGCCACCATTTTAAGAAATCAGAATGCTCTGTTATAGTATTTCATACTGGACAATTAATAGAAAAATAAGGAATTTTCTACTCGGGAAATTAAATGTGTGAAAGCGATAATTAAAGTGCTACCTGTAAAGTAAAAAATATAAGGTACCCAGATATGTAATCCCTGTGTTATTTTCGTAGACGATGTGTTATCTATTCAGCGAGGAGTGGAGGCGCACTATTTTTAACATTACGGATTCGTTTAATTTTCAAGCACGATGATGAAACAGTCTCGTGATGATTGAGTTAGTGTTGAAGAAAGGTACCCGCTTAACGCTGAATCGCGCCAATGCGCTAAGGTGTGTTTGACCTCGGGGTGAAATCTTAGTAGCCTATTTTCACTTAATGATCAAACTGATTACTTTAATACTTTAATTAGGGAGCTAGGTAGACATCTCGACTCTGACAAATTAAGACGAAGGTTGAAACGTGAAGAGGGGCAGATACAAAGCGTCCGAAACGGAACCCCCCTCATTAGTCCTCCTCCCTGCTGCGGGAGACAACCCAGACAAGAGGCCATCATCCACCCGGAATAACCTGATTGGTTGGAAGGACAATGGATGCAAGCGATAGGGGAGATCATGATACCTCTTGAAGCAAGAAGAAGGGTTATTTGGTCGTCAATTAGATGATTAGCGCTCGGGAGTGTGAGACAACCCCTAGGGTGGGAATGGGGTAGGGGAACCGGCTACCCAGAGGAGGATTCTAAAGCTCTAATGAGCTCTTCGACTTTCGGCGTTTATTTCATGGTGCTTTAGTCGAGGGGAAAGAAAGGTTTCATTGGCACCGTCTGGGGTTACCGGACAAAGTCTTCGTCACGAAATTACCCCGTCAATGAGGGTTTTACTGCATAACATCTTCATAACACCTGTGAACTTGTAGCCTATTGTCGGTTACTGAATAAACCTTAAGCCATGGTGAGATCATTGTTCTGTAATACTTTATAATTGAACACGTGTAGTGATGAAGATAGAGTTTAACCGCAGATTACAAGTCATCAATTGTTGTTGATGAACTGATCCTTAAACAGAACTATGTCCAAGAGATGCCACCGCACTACAACTCGGATTTGTATAGTCTCCTTGATGTCGTTCCAATTTCATGTTTGACAGTCAATTATTGAAAGCTGGGGTTCTTATCTTTACACAATCGTTCATGTATGCAGAATCGCCTTTTAAAACATGTGGTCTGTTGATCAGCATGGAGCAAGGAAATAATAAACACACTCTACAGAATATCTATTACATCCTTTATGGAACTCCATACCACTCGAACTGAAACAAGTAGACTCTCTTGTTTCTTTCTCACGTCAGCTTTAAACCTTTCTTTACACAAACGTATTGACATTTCACATGCTTTCTACTGGCTGTGAGGAGTTATCATACTGTATGTGATCGGAAGGGCCTGTTGTAGTTTAAGGAGAATATAAACCTGAGCCTTCTCTGATAAATCATCATCTGAATTGTGGTTCTCACATTATCATTAAAATTTGTATCCGATTCTCCCCACTCTTGCATTGTATGTTAATTGTTCGAGGAATTTGTCTTTACTTGCATATTTATGATCACATTTCTTTTTCAATTAGTATGTTATAGTAAACGATCATTTTGAGGAGGAAAATTGTAAAGAAGCGATCTTGACACCTCTGTCAATATAATTTAATTAATAGACTACTTTGATTGACTTCGATGTGAAAGATATAGCACGTAAAAGACAAAGAATAACCAGCCTCGATTGTCCACAGAAACAGTTGACTAGCTAAGTCTCTGAATATGTAATTTTGATAGTAACAAATAAACCCATTCACATTGAAAAGGAGCCCTAGTCAGATTGGAAATTCAGAACCTGAGGGAATCTAGACTTGCTTCTTTTAGAGTTTGGGCATTGCAGGGAGGGCTAGGCAATAGGAAAATAATGTGGTTCAGGGACTGTGAGACAGACTACCGAAGCAGATTCTCAGTAACTTGGCAGTGAAACATCTATGAACAAATCACTGAAATTAAAGTTGACACCAGGTGTTCGCCCAAATGAGTGAGTGAGCTGAGTTTTACGCCGCTTTTAGCAATATTCCAGCAATATCACGGCGGGGGACACCAACCACTAGGCCACCCAACCGCCCCTCGCCCAAAAGAACGTGTGTGTATATTTACCTGTACGCGTGCTTCGCTGAGTTCTAGTCTCATAGCCAGTTCCTCCCGTGTGAAAACATCTGGGTACTGGGTTTTCTCGAACGCCCGCTCTAGCTGGTGCAACTGGAACGTCGTGAACGTTGTTCGACTACGCCGGATTTTTCTGGGTTTGGATCCGTTGTCTTCAGCCTCAGAACCAGTGACATCAATACCCCGACCCTCATCAATCTCCTCTATGGAAGACTCGTCTTTCACATCACAACGAGGGGACCCGTAGCAATCTCGACCCTCATCAGTTGGGGACCCGTAGCAATCTCGACCCTCACCGTGTGGGGAGCCATAGCATTCCTGCCCGTCCCCCCGGGGAGAGCTGTAGCAATTGTCCCGGGGGAGAACGTTGGGGCTGTGTAAGCGTGTCTCGGACAGGCAGTGTGGTTGAGGAGAACCTGGCAAAAAAAATATCAAGTTCTTCTCAAACTATAACACATTAATGCATGACGCGACACCGACAAGCAACACAGAAATCTTGGGAAAGCATATTAATGCATTGATTGTTTAATTATACAAATAAGTTTGGTAAAACATTTTCTTTCGTCCAGTACAAAAATTGCGTTAATTTAGTGTTATTTTCTATAAGTCTCATTTTATTACAAATACTGGTAATGAAATCGCCATACACTTTGCTGAGAACATCACGATACGGTATTTCTGAAATAATATTTTGTAACAAAATCAGTTGAAACTTTTTTCTTTGATTGAAACAAGTTTGATTTCTCTTCGGTGACTTCTTTGTCTATTATTTGTTTCCATTTCAAATAACTTGGATAAAAAGCCCTACCCATTAATGAAATACGCATTTGCTTTTCACACATAATATTGCCATTACGTGTTAAGCAACTATGGAACACAGCTGAAGAACACAACTGTACGGCGTGTTGGGGTTGTGCTGGAAGTAAGTTTCTGCTCAATGTTGCTACAATTAATTAATCAGACTTATACACGTAATGATTCATAAACTGTGTATCTTACAGTGGTTTGAGTTTTAAAGATTATACTCGCGCCATGCTTAAGCACATATAAACAAATTCCATCTTCAAAATACACTGTAAAAATCCAACAAGCTTTCTAGTAAAACACAACGTGTCATAATATTCTTATACATCTATATTCAGTAAGAAATAAATGTTAATTTTCTAGATAATTAATAACGGAAAACTCTCTCTATATATAAACGCGTATTTTGTTTCTGTGAGTACTATCACAATATTTCGTTAAAAATGATTGCTTCAGAATATTAACAGGTGCCTTAAACAGACTAGCATAGTATTTTCTCAAATCAAATAATGGATATACAAGGTTTTTCAAACTAAAGTTTCATGTGAAGTGAATTACAAAACTATCTGGAGTGAAAACAATACCTTTCAACTCATAGTTAATATTACTGGAATTTTTTTAAACTTAAAATGACGCGAATAGTGTGAAATGACAATTATAGTAGACTAAAAAAATTGAGGTGCAGTCATGCACTACTCATGTGTTTTCGAGTAGCTTGATCTCACAAATGTGCCTCACTGTTAGACTAAATGGCAATTTATTTGCAATATTCTCAATATTCATGCATTTTAGAAATTCAAATTGTGTCAATGTAATGTCTTGCCTAACCACAGTTTGACGGAAATGTATATTTTAGGTTCAGGTATCTTGTACGTGAGGAGGTAATAAATAGTATTTTGCAGTAAATCTTTGCTGACATTTTTTGAACAATGATTAAACTGTATTAAGCTGACAACCATTAAACGAACGCTCGATGGATAGAAATTACACAAATCACTTTAAACATCATTGCCTATGCTATTTCTCATACGTTTGTATTGGTATCGAAATGAAGATTTCTAACAATGTCAACTTTGATGTTAAAATACCTAGTGTAGGATAATATATATCTGCCAAGTTACTTCATAATAACGTAGCGATATGTAAACGAATAACAAAAAAAGACAAAACATCACTTAAATGCAGTTAATAATTACCACGAAAAAATACATGAGGAATATGATGAAAATACCACCTGCATGTAAGCTTGATTCATAACACTACGATCTGCAATTGCCACAATTTCAATGCACCTGTTTGGATGCAATTTTTTAATAAAAAATAACTCACCGTGAAGACGTAAATCACAGTTTGCATCAGTTGCGCTGTCTTTAGTGGGACTTCTACCAAGGATGCTGTCAATACTATAAGACTTCATCTTGCGCTGAGGGATCGGACTGGGGGTATTCTGTTCCGTATCGGAGTTGGGAGTTCCGTCCATGCCGTGAAGCGAAATATAATAAATCCAAACTGTGATATTGTTCTGTGGGCTGGCGATGTGACTTCACTGAGAGTTCTCTGAAATGTTGAATGAACAGGCTGCCTTTGCCTTTTATCTCAACTAACGTGTCAACTCGTATCACGAATACTTTGTTAATGTAATTAGCGCTGCATTGGTAATCTTCTAATCTAATGTTTGTTTGCAGAGCGAGTCAAGAAGCGAACATTTCTAACGGGCGCGCTGATTGGTCGAACATCGGTTTCCGGAACTCGGTGATTGGCTGCTCACCATTTCACGCCGACTGGTCACGAATGATCTTATTTGTTGAACTAAGTAGATAATTTGCAATGTGAGTCTGAACATTGATTTAGCCTTGCTCGCGATCATGAGGGCGGGGCTAATAATTGGGATCGTATTTCCCTAAAACCTGTCACAAACTAAAGCGCCTCTCTATCGCAGCTCAGGTTGAATTACAGAAGAAATGAAATGATTGTGTATAGAAAAGCCTGTAGCTGACCTCCATGGGGGTCTGCTATAATCTGCCCCCTCGTACAGTGGCGACAAGCCTATGACTTCATTAGCACCAACACCCCTCGGCTAAAATCTTTTGTCATTTTTCATCCCCGACTGACTCCCGAAATTTAACAGAAAAGCAATTTTTCACCTTTAAGTTTGTTACTAAGCCTGACGGCGGGGAGAAGGGATTTCATTGAGTATGTGTATGTCAACCTTGTATTATTGACTTGAACATTAACTAACACAACACCGCGCTTCCTATAGTACTCAATAGGTATCCGGTAGGATGAAGTCAGTTTGTCATGAGAGTATTCCAAAGTTGAGGATGGAGCATATTGTTGTTTCTTTTTTATGAAATTGTTGGACAGGAGAAGGTTGTTAAACGTCGTTGTTGAGTTGTTTTCATGCTTGTGGAACTGGTGTCGGGATAGACTAATGCTTAGTCCCTGAATATATATATATTTTATAAAGTAACAAATAAACCCATTTAAATTGAAAAGGAGCCCCAGTGAGTTGGGAGAATCAGAACCCTGGAGAAAATTGTTTCATTTAGGGCTCTGGTATTGAATGGAGGGCGTGGTAGTATAGGGACGATAATGTGGTTCAGAGACTGTGAGACAGACTACATTGCAGGGAGGGCTAGGCAGTAGGGAACATAATGTGGTTCAGGGACTGTTACACAGATTAATGTCGAGAGTGTGGAAGGGGAGAAGATAAGTTATGGAAAGATCCCGAGTGGGTGCAAGAGGTTTGTCATACTGGACGTGGGTTGGGGTAGGGAACGTGGTGGACGTTGATGGGGACGTTGGCTATATGAACTAGCGTTTGGGTTGAAGGAGTTGGTTGGGAGGAGAAGTAAGTTCTGATCGTGACGTTATTGGTGACAGGTGTTGCTTGAATACACAGACACCTGACCGGGAGGTATTGCCATGGAACTGTAATGACCTATAAAAGTGAGTGAGTTGGGTATTACGCCGCTTATAGCAATATTCCAGCAATATCATAGCGGGGAAACCAGAAATGGGCTTCACACATTGTACCTATATGGGAAATCGAACCCGGGCCTTCGGCGTGACGAGCGAACGCTTTAACCAGAACGCTACCCCACCGCCCCGACCTATTCGACTTCAGTGATAGTTCAAACATGAGTGTACATTTATAACGTGTCGTTTTCTGTTTTACATAACAGGGCGCCATATAGTATGTCACCTATCAAGAGTTCATCATGACATTATCCACAATTCAGTTTAGAAACAGTAGCTGCACCTCCTACTTTTGATAATCACGAACAAACCGTTCCTCCAATTCTAAATCTTACATTGGTGATATAAGGGCGAACTGACTATGGCGGTCTTTGCAACAAAGGTTGTAATAAACTCCATCCAGTGTTACAACAGTTCGTCAACATTCTTTAACCATCTTTTAAATTTGACAAAAACCTATACTCGTATGGTTCACCTTTCCCTAATGTGATAGGTTGTAAAACTCAAGAGTCCGTTTTACACCGGTTCTGTGTTCAAATAATGTTTATTACTGCATTATAAAGCTGAGTAATTAAATCTGTCGAGTACAATCACATTGCTGTAGTTGAAGAAGTGTGGAAACTCTCACTCTTTCTGTTAGACGTGCTATTTATAACACGATGTAGTATGTTAATGCTCTTTATGGAAACTATCTCAGAAAAGGGAGCGTCATTATAGCCAGGACAAGAAACGTATCTTGCTCGTATAAAAATAAAGATGAGTATTAAAGTGAATAGGATGAGTAACGGACCCACATGCATGAACATGAAATTGGCGATAATGGAGGAAGAATTGTCACAAACGTTCACGAATATATCCCTTGGAGAGTTTATGTTCTTTAGAGGAGCACATGGAGTTTCCTGAGTTTCAAGAAAGAACTGTTTGCATAAAAAGTTTCATGGTGGTTTCGAAGTGTTCGTTGCAGCGTTACGCCTACGCCATACACACCTACGCTATAGCCATCTTGAATAATATGAAATGCACAATGCCATTTTAGTAAGTGGTAAAATGTAACATATGTTATATTTTGGATTACACTTTCTCAGTAAAGTACAGATTCTAGTACTCTTTTGGGGGATTCGAACCCACACCCTTAGACTAAGAACTAGTCTCTGAAATGAACATATTTTACTGAAAAAAAGTTCATAGTAAAAATATAATGAAAAGGAGCCCTGAGACTTTCTTCATTTCCTGAAGCTGAGGAAATCTAGACTTGCCACATTTTCTAGACTTGCGTGGGCTTTCTTGGATATATTTACTTCAGGTTCTGTACGACAGACTACCCCACCCTCAGAGTGTATTTCTGTTATTATCTGTATATATATATATATATATATATATATATATATATATATATATATATATATATATATATATATATATATATATCATTAAGTTAACAGTGAAAGATATGTCTCTTCTTTACAAAGTTTTAATTGGTAGTCTAGCCAGATGAAGTCCCGAAGCCGTGAAGAGGCCAAGGCGAGTTTTGCATGCACGCCATCGTATCCCTATTGTGTATATCGCTGCTCATGATGTCAATCATTTGATTGTCTGGTCCAGATTCCATTATTTACAGACCACGGCCTTATAAGTTAAAAATTGCTAAGTTCGGCGTTAAACAAAGAAAAAAACACGTAATTTTAGTGATGCCAGCCTTCCCGATAGTCTGTCGCACGGTAACAATATTTCCCCTCCAGCTTAGAGACCTGTGAAGATCCGGGATAGAATTGATCTTCAGTTACCCATGCTTGTCGGAAGTGGCGACTAACGGGATCGGGTGGTCAGGCTTGCTGAATTGGTTGACACATGTCGTCGTATCCCAATTGCGATCGATGCTCATGCTGTTGATCACTGGATTGTCTGGTCCAGGCTCGATCATTTACAGACCGCCGCCATATAACTAGGGTATTGCTGAGTGCGACGTAAAGCTAAACTCAGTCACCGACAGTCCAGCTTAACACTGTCTCCGATTTCACTGGAACCACTTTTCAATTTAAATGTAACTGCTGATATAATTAAAGTTATATTTTTCATAGACAAACATCTAGTCTCTCACTGAAATGAATGTTCCTAAGTTATGTTAATATAATATAATAAAAAAGGAGCCCAGATACGTAATTCATTTTCGGTCGTAATCTACTTGTCAGATATTCTCGACTTGCATATATGCCTATAGGCGTTAAGGTGTATCTATGTCAGTGGTTGTATGAGACTAAGATTTTGAGAGAGTAAGAGTTTACCTTAAGGATGGTGACGTGTATGATTGTACACAAGGAACCCTATCAAACAGGAAACTGTCAATCCGGACAATTTCTTTGAAAATGAAATAACGGTGTTTTCTTGAACTTCTCGCATATTTAGGAAATAGATTTAATTTCAAAGGCATGAGCAAAAACTAGATAATATGTTCATAGACAAGTTGGTGTTGATGTCGTAAATGATGACATTGTACAGATACAAACGGTGTCCAGAAAGTTTAGCGACTCAAGAGTCCGTTTTACACCGGTTCTGTGTTCAAATAATGTTTATTACTGCATTATAAAGCTGAGTAATTAAATCTGTCGAGTACAATCACATTGCTGTAGTTGAAGAAGTGTGGAAACTCTCACTCTTTCTGTTAGACGTGCTATTTATAACACGATGTAGTATGTTAATGCTCTTTATGGAAACTATCTCAGAAAAGGGAGCGTCATTATAGCCAGGACAAGAAACGTATCTTGCTCGTATAAAAATAAAGATGAGTATTAAAGTGAATAGGATGAGTAACGGACCCACATGCATGAACATGAAATTGGCGATAATGGAGGAAGAAATGTCACAAACGTTCACGAATATATCCCTTGGAGAGTTTATGTTCTTTAGAGGAGCACATGGAGTTTCCTGAGTTTCAAGAAAGAACTGTTTGCATAAAAAGTTTCATGGTGGTTTCGAAGTGTTCGTTGCAGCGTTACGCCTACGCCATACACACCTACGCTATAGCCATCTTGAATAATATGAAATGCACAATGCCATTTTAGTAAGTGGTAAAATGTAACATATGTTATATTTTGGATTACACTTTCTCAGTAAAGTACAGATTCTAGTACTCTTTTGGGGGATTCGAACCCACACCCTTAGACTAAGAACTAGTCTCTGAAATGAACATATTTTACTGAAAAAAAGTTCATAGTAAAAAATATAATGAAAAGGAGCCCTGAGACTTTCTTCATTTCCTGAAGCTGAGGAAATCTAGACTTGCCACATTTTCTAGACTTGCGTGGGCTTTCTTGGATATATTTACTTCAGGTTCTGTACGACAGACTACCCCACCCTCAGAGTGTATTTCTGTTATTATCATTCTATATATATATATATATATATATATATATATATATATATATATATATATTAAGTTAACAGTGAAAGATATGTCTCTTCTTTACAAAGTTTTAATTGGTAGTCTAGCCAGATGAAGTCCCG